TATATATATATATATATATATATATTCGCCCCCACCCCGTAAATAGCGTTAAATGTGACATGGCATTTAGGTAACAGAATAAAAAAATAAGTAGTGTATACAAAACAATGAATTAATGCTCATCATACTTCTGCTGCTGGTATCAAAAAGCTCCACTACGCGCTGGCAACGAGCATCAGGAAGCTTCTTCCGCGCCCTATCAATCGGCCGAAAACCTTCTGAGTCCCTGAGTTCTGGATCAGCCCCCCAGGCGAGAAGAACGCGGCATACCTCAACCCGGCCATAAGTTGCGGCATAGTTAAGCGAGCTACGAATTCCAGCATTAACGTCGGCACCACGAAGACAAAGTGCTTCAACCATGATAGGTGACCCAAACGAAGCAGCCCAGTTAAGTAGAGTCTGCCCTAAGTGATCTGTGTAGTTGACGTCAATATTTTCACGACATGCAAGTGCTTGCATAAAAGCGTCTAAAAATAAGGTAAACATCGGCGTCGTTCAGACGCAATAATACTATAGATTGATAGTTTAAAAGCGATATGGTAGTAGCGAAAAAGCATATTTGCCCATGTATGTAGCATCTACGTATCAATTTGTCATCAGGTGTATATAAAGCACAATGAAGCTAAATTTTCTTCAGAATCAGAGAGATAACTCGGCTCAAAATCATTTATCGAAATTTAAGATTTTTAATAATATAATTGTTTAAGCAGGCAAAACTAATTTTGGTGCCTCAACAGCTAATTTCTGAAACAAAAAATTAATTAAAATTAAAGTATATTTGGCTCTAGTTATTGATATAGAATAGGAACAGATCCACTTAATAAGCTTATGCGACTGAATTACTCGTCTTTTTTGACTACTTGTCTAAATTATATATTTTGGATGTTGGAGTACTTTTAATTTTGTTCGAAGAGGGGAGTGGAAGGGATTCGTAAATTTATTCCACTTGAAGCTGTGGGGGGATTTCCGTGAAGCTGTGATTGTAGATTTTTGCGAATAGTTCCTTGGCGCAACGCCATGCGACCCCGATAAATCCTTGCTGAGCTTTCGTCCGTCATTGTATCCTGCTCTGATGCTGTCCGTCACATGACAGACGAAAACTAAGCAAGGACTCATCGGGATCGCAGGGCGGCGCGCCGAGAACCTATCCGCACAAATCTACAATCAAAGCTTCAAGGCAATCCCCCCCAGCTTCAGGTGGAACCAACTTACCAATCTGTTCCATTCGTCTCTCCAAACGAAATGAAAGGTACTCTAACATCAACATATTAAGGAATTCTTCGAGACCCATTTATTCTACGTATGTTTTGTATATTTGCATAAAGCTACACATATCGATGAGATAAACTCCCGTCAAGAATGATGCTGAACATTTAAAGGATATTTGTGTAGCAATCAGTAGTAGTCTTGATATTAAAGCAAAATATATCACCTAAAATTCAATCTAACGTACTATTCTATCTTTGATAATACTTTTCACACTTATTAGAGGCCGATAATCAAGAAAACTCCGAAGAACTATGCGGGATTTCTTACACTTAATTGACTCACTCTTTATTTTTACTATATATATATATATTAGATGTGAAGGTTCTATACCCTTTAAATATTGACTACATATATACATATATAGAATGGACAGTTTGAATGTCAATAATAATAGATCATAGAGGTAATTTAAATAGGACTGACCCGAATCTTGTCTTTTAATTTCCTCTATCAGAAATCTATGCACATAGTCACGCTTCAAAGTAGCAGAACCATGAGGATCGACATGCGAAGTTAAGGCATGATTAGCCCTTTCCACAGTTTTGAGGGTTACTGATTGGCTCTTCCATGACTCCTGGCCATTTTTCGATTTGTGACTAGGGTTAATTTTGGCAGAAGATTTGGTAGAATATCGCTCGGAATCTATTTTTGCATCGTTCTTCTCTAATGTATGCGAAATATCAACAAAAGTGGGTTGGGTAGTTGACTTTTTTGGTCTTGTGTCAGTCTCGGGTGGCGATTTTGAAACGGGACATGGACTATTAGTAGCAGAAACAGTAGATTTAGAACTGTATAAAAGAATTAGTAGTATGTCAATCAGTTGAGAAATACTAGCGACTACACTATCTTCTCCTCGGAGCATGACTGCAGCCAAAGTATTAGCTAACTGGTTATCACTTGAAAGAAGGCGACGAGTGATGCTAGGTGAGCTGCAACAGAGCGTAAGGAGGATATCCGTAATGGCATGCACCGCAGTCGGATTTGGTTCTATTATGACTAAAATATAATGATTCAATTAGTCCTTAACCGTAAGTGTCAGAAAAGAAGCCTAATACATACCGTTAGCATGGATGAATTCAGGAGACGAGGAACCAGCGGCTGAATCAAAAGGACTTTCTATGACACCACCGGCGGCGCGAAGCCTTTGGAGCAGGCATTCAATAAGATGTGGAGTAGCTACAGGACTAGGATCCAGATGTCGTTTTGTAAATCTTTCAACTAAATTAGCGAAGGCTCTCAGCGCCTGATCAGAAACTGAGGTTGTATGGGCACCAGTAACAGGAACTGGGGTCATACTCGGAGCAACACCAGCTCTCCCAACGAAGGAATTAGCTTCATTTTCATTTAAAAGAGCAGTAAGGTGTTCTAGCCAAACAGGTAAATTAGCGGAGTCAGTTGGATCAGCTTTGGAGCAAAGACGCTGTGCAATGTCCATTCCTGCTTGCAGCACATCCGCGTGCAAGAGGGGTCTATAATGGTGAATAAATCTCAGAACACTAGCCAATCCGCCAGCGGTGGATACAGCCGAAGCTGCACGCGTAGTGATTATTTGTAGCATCTAAATGTATAAAAATCGTAATTCAGTAAACAAAAAGTTAGATTCAGGAGACCGCGACAACCGACATAAGTAGATGTCTCTCATACTTTTACATTATGTATGAAACAAGCTAGAAAGTTTATATCAAATCACACCGATGAAAATAAACACTATGTACCCAGGCAGATAAATTATAATGGATAAAAAGTAAAAGATTTTATGAATCACAGACTGCATTTAAAGATCACAAATTTGGCCAAAAAATTAGACAAATATAACTATTTAGTATAGAAACCAAAATAACTTACCTTTATAATTTGCTGGCCCAGTTCGTTGCTTTTCTCGGAAGACATATCAACCATATCAAGGCGAGAGCAAATTGCCTTTAAGGTACCATCAACATGGACTATTCTTTGAACATAATCGAGAGAAAGCTCGAGAAAATAAGTAAGAGTCCGTGCATTCGCCTCCAAAACTTTGTCTGGAGCAAGTTCATCTAAGAATATTTTGCAAAGAGCCGGAATGAAAGCTCTGGGAGAATATCTCTCAAAAAAATTATCAATATTATCTGAAAAAAGAATATCGTTGCACAATTGTTCCAATGCAGTTGCTTGCATCTCTCTAGTATCATCCGTGCCCATCTGGAGCCATTCTAGGAGAGTCGATGGATCCGCCTCCATGGCTTTCTAAAATGTAACCAAATTGAATAATATAAGTATCCCAAACAATTAAGCGCAATCAAAGCTGCTTATAAAATAGCAAGTAGATAAAAGTAGAGATTGCACCTAAAGTTTGTGATGTGAGTAACGCACGACAACCGTCCCGCCTCAGAATAAACAGCTAAAAATAAAATATTTATCATCCACTTAAAAAAAAAGAAAAAAAACAGAATAAAATTTTAAACTAGTTGTGGTTATTTGCTATTTCTTTATTTATTCTTTCGACAGTCCGCCTCGTATCATGTAATTAATAATGATGGGCATACAATGAACGAAGGTTCTAGGGGCGCAGATTCTGCGTATGGCGAAGAAAATAAGCTTGAAATTTCTCATGAACCAGGTTACCACGATGAATGCAGTAAGAAATATGTCATTTTCTTCATGTTTTTTATTTGCCCATAAC